TCAACTGATATTTTCTAGGATTATTATTTTCATAAATGGTCACAACAAAAACGTCATATACAACAAATACATAGTAATCAATCAAATCGTCATAATCATCGTGGACAAAAAATAAGTTATCCAGTACTTCAATTATTAAAATCAATTCAACAAGAAAATGAGTATGAAGAAATTTTATATCAACAAGATTCTATTGAGAGTAGAGATGGGATCGGTTCGTTTCTTACCATGAAGGTGTTTATGTTGTCAGTTAAATCAACTGGACATATTAAAGCTATCACCGCCAAACTAACAAATTTTAAATATTACGTGCTCATAGCGTATCTAGAGCAAATTACTTCAATTTCAAGGTGTATGAAATTTAGGTATAAAAATGAATCAGGAAAGGATTTGTCCACTATTGTAAAAATAAAACATAGTGTTGTTCGAGCCGATTATAGCGTTTGTAGGACCATGTTTTGTCCTTATAATAGTAGAGTGAATTTTTCTAGTAGTAGATCGAAAACGCCGTTTCCTTGAGCGACAGAAAAAATTCACTCTACTATGATAAGGACAAAACATGGTGTTGTTCTGGTCATATAAAAGAGGATCCCTACAAACACTATAATCGGTTCGAACAACACTATGTTTTATTCTTACAATAGTGGACAAATCCTTCCCTGATTCATTTTTATACCTAAATTTCACACACCTTAAAATTGAAGTAATTTGCTCTAGATACGCTATGTGCACGTAATATTTTAAATTTGTTAGTTAAATTGATATAGTTTAAGTCAGTATTTTGACATGTAAAACAAGAAACTAGAATGAGAAAAGAGGTTCTTAGTAACAATAGCAATATTGATACATTTTTTTTGTCGTTCTTCGTCTAAGAAAAGAGGACGTAAACAAACCAATGATGCCTTTTGTTTACAAAAAAAAAACATTTAGATACTTTTATTTTGAATTCAACACAATATGAATATTTCTCCCTTAATAAATACAGAACTTTGTTTTTTCTTCAACTAAAATGATCGAAAAACTGACGATGTTAGAGATCCGTGCTCTCAGCACCTTTAAAAATTATCATTAGGAGAATTTTGTGAAACTTTCAGGGTAGATAGATCTCTGAGTAGAATAAAAATTGTCATAGACTCTAAATTCTCAAATGCTTCCTTTCAGGAGATCAAGAGTCAAAAATGATCTGAAGTTATCCCCTCTTCCCGCAAACATCCATACTGCGTTACTTAGGGTTGAAATTTTTTTGTGGTAACTAGGAACAAGTTTGGGTGCGTGTTTTTTTTTTCTTTGGAAAATAT